AAAATACGGCTACTCATAGCGGGATATATGGCTCATGAAAAATGTATAAATAATGCTGAGAGATAAGTCGTAAAATGACACAATACTTGTAAAATATGTTTACAAGTTTTATTAAGAAATAAAAACGATACACAAATAAATATATCACGTGTATGTATATACATATATATATATATTTATATATATAATAATAAATAATCTTTTGCATATATTAATGTTATGATATAAAGTATAATACGTATTTCATGTTATGCATTTATTACATTTAATGCACTGAATCTAATCTACACATTTTGTGCATAAATTCCGCGCGTCCGTTAAAAATACTATATATCTTCCTCCCCTCTCCCCACCAAGCAGATGGAATATACATATAAAACATCAAACTATAACAAACAATACAAAACTAAGCACTTTTATAAACTTTTTAAGAATAGAATATTTTGCCGTATTTCATTCTTTACTGTTTCTCTACACTTATGTATTACCAAGTATAACCATTAAGCTTTTTACACTTCCTACAGCAATAATTTTATGTAGGTTATGTGGTATATGATCAATACAATAGAACAATGCCTATTACGATCAAAAAAGTAATTCAAGATTGAATTATTTAAAGCAATGAAGATCCAGCTTTGACAATAATAAACTTTTTTTCTGGTATTGATTGTGTTTCTCACATATGTGTGTGCGGTTTAAAATAAAAGATTCTTAACATTATATGATTGTACTTCTTACTATTGATAAATCGATGCAACTGACAATGGTTTTAATAATGTTAATAGTACAAACATATTGTAATACAATATTATCATAATATAAAGACATATAATGGAGTGCAAATTAACTTTTTATTTTTTCTGACTTCTACAGCGTAAATCCCAGTGCGGCGTGAATACTGGGAGTTACCCTAAATAAATAAAATCCTCTATCGTGAAGATCGATAAGATTCGCGGTTGGATTCCTGAATGGACCGGTTAATGTCGGTCAATTCAATCACCAGTGCCTTTAATTCCCGCGACCACAAATGCCATACTGACAATAATTCGCGGCGATAAACGTGGCGTTATTAACCCGTTACTTTTGTTCGGACGGGAGTCCGAATGTCCATTCGATGAGATTCGTCGCATCGAAAGCCCATTGCAAAACGGGTAACAATAATTGCGGAGCAGCTTGCCGCCATTTTTGGTCGACCGATTCCTGCCTCATTCCTGTTTTTGGCAATTGTGGCGCACACGCGCGCGCGCACACATACACACACACACACACACACACACACGTGATACACATACGTTTCTCCTACCCTTTTATTCATCCCACTATGCGGCCACGATCATAATCTCTCTAATGGAACCACGAGATAATGCTCCGGGGGGAGATTAGTGCTTCGCGGGGAGCTCCGCGTATAACTGGTGACCAATAATTCAGCAGATATCACAAGTATATAATGTTATCTCCGCACTCGACGGATAAGTTTTACACTCCCGTTTTGCGTGACATTAAATCGATAAGATTGAATCGCCGACAGCGTACTTCCGGAGTGAAAGACTTTCTCGTTTTACTCCTTCTAGACTTCTTTTTTCGTTCACCATTCATTTTGAACTCTCGCTGACTACTACGAGTCGCTTATGTTTTTTCACAAAATAACTTCGTTGTTATTTTAATTCGGTTTTGCATCAATATTGACAAAATCAAACCTACGTTCTGCTGTTGTACTGGCTACGTTTCTACTGTTGTATCTCGTGAGAAATTAACGTGCTATTACTGGCGAACGTTCAGGAACGTTGCCAAATGAATGTCACGTTAATGTGCGCTCCAATCCCATAGCGCTATCTATTTTAATAAAATATGATGATTGTCTTTGCAGTTTCTTTTCCTCTTTCCTTAGAATTCCCACCGCTTGTTACCGTTATCGTGCAATTTCAATTTATTATAATGTAAACATTGTAAACATTTAAAAATCACGAAGAAATTTTCTTCAATAAATACGTAATAAACAATTACATAGTTAAATAAATGACAACCTGTATGTGTAATACACAATAAATAAATGTCCTATAAAATATTTTTAACCGTATGAGATCTCGTGCCTACATTGAGAAAAAATAAATGCAATTATCATTTAATTTAACTATAATTTCTAAGAATGAGTAACATTTCTAATTTTTATATTATAAATTAAAATACCTAACTCGTGATGTGTAAAAATAATAAGAGTAAAGACAATAAACGAGTAAATAACATAATAAAGATATTCGAATTAATTTATTATATAATCCAATAAACAAAAGCCGCGTGCGTTTGGAACTGACAGAGTCTTCTTCAGTCGTGTTGACAAAATTATAAAATGAAAACATAGAAGTTACATAATATAGTTTGTAATGTGTAACAAGAAGCCAAATCCATATAAGATAATGTACGACAAGAAGCCAATCCATATAAGTAATTAAAATTGTAAGATGCTTGTATCCAAATTCCTCGGTCGATAGTATAAGACGTCATAAAGTGGTCAATAATTAATGTAAGTACAAGAAATAAGGTAGTCATTTTCTCATTCAAGTGAGGAAGTCACATCCAGATATTTTGGTTGTTAAACTTGTCAATAAAAAAGTGCGTTAGTCAAAGTAATAAAATTATCTGAATCCGATAGAACAAGATAAGCTATAATTTTTAAAGCAAATAAGAATTTGTTAATCAATGTAAAATACAACAAACATTTATAGTAATAAATGAGAAAAATGCCAGAATATATATGTGGTTCTAATAATATTTGACTTCTTGTCTGTCCAAGTCGCAATATGTGTCTGAGATAAATTACACACATTATAACAAAAGATACAATGTTATTGAAATCTACTCACTTTTCAAACATTCGATTTATTTATTAAGAAAATACAAAGGAACTAACTTCTATGACAATTTTTCTAAAATGTTATGATAAGCTACATCAAGCAAGACCAGTTGATATCATCTTATTGTTCTTTAATGGATCGTCTCTGAAATAAGACTCTAAAAGTTTGGTTCGTGGTTCTTGTATTTTCCCAATCAAAGATATAGTTCAAGTTATATATATGTTCAGTAATAACCGAATGTTTAGAAGAATCTAAAGTTGTTATAATTGTTGTTATAATCATTTTTTCGGTATCAACTCTGTATATTTTTTGCTAGAATTATCATTATTAATATTATAATTATAGTATATAATAATTATAGTAATAACTATAACAATAAATATAACTAATAAATATAACTATTATATAAAAATGGACTTTCTAACTATGATTATTTTTTTATGCAATTACAGTTGCAAATATTAAACACTTTTCTTATAATAATGATAATTTTGCGAGTTTTACTCATGATGACTATATATTTTTAAACTACGCGTCGATTGCTTTTTAATATTTTGTGCCGAAGCTAAAAACATAATATCGTTCTATTAAATAAAAATTCACGCACAATTTAATATTATTAGGCATCTTATAAATCTACAAAGAAATATAAAACGGACAACCTGGAGGAACAGCTTAGGCTGCTCCTCGCCCTGATGAAGTGGACGAAACGTTGACATTCCAAGAATGGATCTGGACACGGAGAAAACCCGCGAAACGCATAATCTTTATATAGAAAGCACCTGTGAAAACTTCAAGCATATAAATCTACAAAGATTTTATTGCATTGAAAGAAAAGTGTTTGTTACTTAATTTTAATTGCATGATAAAATCATAAAATAGTAATTCGAAGCTCCATTTCCATTATTAGCATAACATTAGCAATATATATTTTTTGTACATAGAATTATAAATGTTATTATTACTAATAATACAGTATAATAATGACTATAAAATGGCGTTTCTAACTATGATTATTTTATCATGCAGTTGTAGTCGTAAATACCATATAATTTTCTCTCACTCTGTGCGAGAAATATCACCTCGGTAAAAATTGTTGTTAGGCACGAGATCTCGATGACCGGAAATGTCAAGGTAGATTCCGTAATTTGATAGCTTGCGCAGTTGTAAAAAGGATCTAGGACGATGTAGAATTTCACAAGGTAAAAATATTGATTTTACCTCGCATGTTTGTAAATCAAAGTTATGCTTTTATCATAGTACATACTTGTCAATATGAATCGATCGACGATTACGTGATAGTAGGATATGACATGAAACACGCGACGTCAGCAAAGTCTTAACTGATCATCCAATACAAATCGTCAAATTAATCTCGACGAGAAATTCCATGACGCGTCGTAACTTCGTTAACCGAACGCAGACGTGCGTCGAAAATTGTTCGGCGAATTATTACGTGAGAATTATTCGCTTTTCGGAAGCTCCGGGGAAATGGTCGCAGGGATTCGCACTCAATGTCGAGTTTAACAAAGATATTACGACGTGGCGCGTTTATTAATTTTGCCGTGTTCCAGGAACACGGAATGTTCGGAAATTTCGCCGGCGGAAACTTACAAAGTGGCGATTTTGAAGTTCAAACACGAACATAAAGTTTAAATACAAATCGTTTCATGAAATTAATATTTAACAAAGTTAAATATTGATTGTCACAATACTTTGTTGTTCGCAAGTTACAAAGCTACAGAACTTATTAGTACATTTCCCTTTTATTTATTTATTTGATTTTTTACCTATTATCGCTCTGCATTTTTATACTTCAATTAATGCAAAAATTACGAGAAAAATTTTGCTCGTATAATTTAGAATATATATATATATATATATATGGCAAATTTGCATAAAAATTTGCATACGTATATACTGAAATTGATTCCATCATTTGAAAAATGTTTCCATTTGGAGATTTTTATAAATATAATCTGTAAAAGTGAGCGTAAATAAACGTTTTGTATGTGCGCTGTTTGCGGCAGTACGAAGTGACAGATTAAACGAAATTAAAAACACTGCGAGATTATACTAGATGAATTATTCCGTATTGGTCGTCTAAAATAAAAAACATATAAGACTCTTAAAGCTCCCGTCACGTAGCAGAAATTGATACAGATGCGGGATCGGAAATTGCGAACGATTTATCCATCGAGCGTTTCTTAACGAAGTTTACAAGAAGCCGATACTTTCCGCAAAATTGCCAACATTACTGTGAACGATGCCACGATATAAAATAATGTGCTTTCCGCAAAACCTTTTTTATGCGGGAATCTTCTCGACCATAGAATGGCCGTGAAGGAATTATTTCAGCGTAGGATGTTCGGGAAGATGCGTAATTTCCAACTAGCAAATTCTTGCAATTTCTAGGTAATATTTTTCAAGCCACTCAGGCAATTCCGTTGTTTCCGTTCCACGGAATCATCCACTGTCGAATTGGATAATTCGTCTCTTAGGATTATTACGTTTTCGCTTCCGTCCCAATGGATTTAGACGTTGTTGACTACGAAAGGTCCGAGGACGGAGAATTACGACGTTACGAGAAATAATTAGGTACAGAGTTGCAGATCTTCCATGGAGTCTGCTTCTCAGAGAAAAATCCTCGAGATCTCGCTCGTAAAGAATCAAAAGTATCTGGAGACAATAATTAAAATATCAAATTTTCATCTCTTTGAAAAATTTAGAAACTTTCCGCATTTTTTTCTAATTTCAAGTCTCTGAATTTTGCATCTCTTTTTTAATGTTGCCGAATTCCCGACACGTTAAATTTTCACGCGGAGGCGGAACGCCTGTAAGCCTTTTGTTCGAAGCTCAAGTCTCTACTGACCATATCACTATATACAACTTCCGTTACTGCCTTACGCGAGCACCAATCTATTTGGGGATTAAAGGAAAAATATATTCGCGGGCGTGCATTTGCGCGAAT